TGCCAGGCGGCTGGGGCTCAGGCTCCCCGGGCCGAGGGACGGCTGCGGTGTGGCGCTGGGTTCCACCGTCAGACTCCTCACTAGCTATTGGGCGGAGCCAAACAGCAGGACTGTCGCAGGCCTCAGTTTCCCCGCCGGGAAAGGAGAGTAAAGAGACGTTGCTCCACCCTAACTCCTTAAGTTGGTGCGCCCTGCCCTCTCTGCCCTCTCGGGGCTTTGGAGTTGGGTGAGAGCACAGAGGGGCAGAGCTGGGTCTAGGTTTGAGGAGCGCCTGGGGGGGCCCAGACTGCCAGGGCGCAGGCCGCAAGGTATGGTTGGTGGCCTGCACCTCCCGCCCCCAGGGTCTTCCCCGTGGTGATTCTGCCGCCTGGGTAGAAGCAGAGAGAAACTTTCTCCTGGTCACCTGCCCTGGGACACCGGCCCCGGGCCCTGCTGCCTGTCCAGCACCCCGGCGTCCCTGCTGCTTCCTCGGAATTCACCTGGCCTTCCCCTTGCTCTCTGCTGAGGTGGAAACCAGTCCTGGCTCGGTGCTGGCCGCCGGTGTGTCCCCCAAGGCTGACCGCAGCAGGCCGGGGTTTGTGGTGTGCAGACAGCACGCTCGCCCACCACTCTAAGCCAGGGCGTCAGGTGGAAGCCTCGTCAATACCCGGAAAACACCTGTGTGTCTCCCCCACCTCAGGGTAGAATTTATACGGGTGGGTATTTTAGGCCGGGGCGGGGCACCGCAGGTGCGTGCGTCCACCCAGCCTGTCAGGTCACATAGATGAGAACTTTGGAGGGGCAGCATCGCCGTGGTGCCTATAATACTGGGTGGGCACAGACCTGCAGGCAGGGGGCGGCAACTCAGCACCAGACCTGGGGAGCCTCTGGCCTTCGCGGGCCCAGTGTGGTTACATATGCACATGCCGCAGGCCCTCTGGGTCCAGCATCCCAATCACAGGCCCAACCACGCCTATTGGCCCCAGGCCTGTGCAGACCCATGCAGGCCAGGGCAGGCCCGTGCACACCTGTGCAGGCCCGTGCAGGCCCGGGCAGGCCCGTGCAGGCCCATGCAGACCAGTGCAGTCCCCATGCAGGTCCGTGCAGGCCCGTGCACACCTGTGCAGGCCCACGCAGACCCATGCAGGCCCCGTGCAGACCCGTGCAGGCCCTGTGCAGCTCTGTGCAGGTCCCGTGCAGCTCCGTGCAGCTCCGTGCAGACCCGTGCAGCTCCGTGCAGACCCATGCAGCTCCGTCAGGTCCCGTGCAGCTCCGTGCAGCTCCGTGCAGACCCGTGCAGCTCCGTGCAGACCCGTGCAGCTCCGTGCAGACCCGTGCAGACCCGTGCACACCCGTGCAGACCCGTGCAGACCCGTGCAGACCCGTGCACACCTGTGCAGACCTGTGTAGGCCCGTGCAGACCTGTGCAGATCCATGCAGCTCCGTGCAGGCCCCTCACAGACCCCGCGCACACTCATGCACGCCCGTGCACAGCAGGCTCACTGACCAGGGCAGGCACAGGGAGGCCAGAGGAGGTATTGCAGGACAGTCCATGGATCAGGTCCCGCTTGGGCTTTAGACATTTGGAGAAAACCTGGAAATGCCCACAGCAGGCCAGCTCCATGCAGCCTCTCGTGCCCGGGCCCTGTGTAAGTCAGGCTGTTTATGACCGTGGCCCAGCACCGCGAGGACAGTCAAGGCTGTTAGTGTGGTAGAGCCTGGGGCCAGCCTGGCACCCAGGGAGCACTCAGCCTGGGGGCCACGTCGCTGCCTGCCAACAGCAGCAAGCTGGTGCCCACCCCACCCCCCGTCCCTCGGCAGTCCCCTCTGCCAGCCAAAGACGGACTACCAGCACGCAGGTCACAGCCTGAGGCTGCTTTTCTGGCCCTGGGGCTTTGCTGCAGCTGGCCGGGGAGTTACAGCAGCCTCGAGGATGGACACCCCGGCATGGCCCTTTCCGGCCCCGGGGCCCAGGGAGACTGAGTGCAGCTGCCCTGGTGTGTCCAGGTTCTGGGGCCTCCTGTGGGCACCTGCTCTCGCCTCCTCTCTGCTCCCCAGTCGCCTCTCTGGGGCGGCCTCCGGAATAAATGGGTGGCCCAGGGTGTTGGCCTTGGCTCCTGCCCCTCGGGACGCCAGTCCAAGCCCTGCGCCCTCGCCGCAGGCCAGACGCAGCGCAGATGCTGACAGCTGGAGGCCGCCGTGGCGCCCTGGAGCCTGGGCGAGGCCTGCGCTCCCTCAAGGTGTAAGGTCACGGGTCAGCTCGCTGCTGGCCAGTGGGACCACTGCTCTAGCGGAACAGCCAGCACTGAGATAGGGAGAGGATGGGGTGCAGGCGTGAGGGAGCTGAAGGGCCCAGCGCTAGCTGCCATGCCGGGCTCCAGGCCCCTGGCCACTGCTTCTCCCTTGAGGCCATAAACAGAAACATAGCTGGTCCCTGGGGGAACTCGGGGGCACATGCATCTGTCTGGACACTCTCCCTGGACCCCCACTGCCCTCCAGAAGCCCTGCTGGCCTGGCTGGAGGGGTCAGGAGGCGCTGGATGGACAGTGGGGGAGGGGTCTGGGAGAAGTGCGGGTCACCTACGGTGGGGTGACACCCTCAGAGTGTGTGTGGGGGGCCCGGCCAGGCCCGCGTTCCCTGGGGCTGCCCTCGCCACAGCTGGGGCTCGGCGGCTCGTTTGCTCCCACTGTCGCGGGGGCTGAAGTCTGAGGTCAGTGCCGGCAGCGTGCACTCGGCCAGCTGTCCAGGCCCTTTGCCGGCTGCTGCTGGGCGCCCCTGCGTGCACCCTGGCTCGTCAAGGTGTTCCTCCAGTCCCTGCCTCTGTCCTCCCCAGTGTCCATCCGCCCCACGCCTGCCCCCTCTCCCAGGACAGCACGCAGGAGGCCGCACCAGTCCGGCCAAGCCCCCACTTCCAGCAAGGTCACATGCTGACTTCAGGAAGTGCTGAGTCTGGGGCACGCTGTCCCTACCCCAGGCAGGGGAGGGCAGCGGAGGCGTGAGAGGCTCCTGAGCGCTTCGGGTCCCCGCGGGGACAGGCGTCCTGCCCTGTGTGACCGTGGCCAGTCATCCTGGGGGCAGAAACCGAAGCCCGTCTGTGAAGTCGCATGATCTTGAGGTGTAAACTGGGGCCCTCCCTGGGGGACACCCGGTCAGGGTGCAGCACCCCAAGCTGCCGCAGCTGCTTCCGTGCCGGTTCGATGCCTGCCCCAGGGTGACCCACAGGGCGTGGCAGCCCTCTCCTGTCTCGCCGCTGCTCCCCTCAGCAGTGGACTTTGTCAGTCAACCTGTGCTGCTCCCCACTCTGTCTCTGGTGAATCCTCTCGCCGCCCCTGTACCTCTGGCCTGTACCCCAGTTCTGTGTGCATACATAAATCTTTGTAAAAAAAAAAAAAAGTGTAAATTTGGCGCTTGTGGAGTTGCGCACACACCAACAGAGCCCACCGGCCGCCGGCCGGGTTTCCTGCGGATGCCGAGGCCAGGCCAGAGCGGAGCCTGCCAGCCGGCCACCTTGCCGGCCTCCCTGAGGGGCCCCCACTCCCCTCACCTCACTGTGCCCCCAGGGCGGCCCTGGTGGCCACCCCCACCTCCTTCAGGTCAGGTTGCTGCCGCGGCTCACTCCAGGTCTGGGTGGAAGAGGAAGAAGGAAACCGGGGTTCCCGGGTCTGAAATCCCCTGCGAACGTGCTCCCAGCCGGCGGCCGGCAGCAGTCAGAGGCAACAGGCCATTGTCCTTTGCGCGGCGCATTAATAATGTCACAACAGCGTCTGCTGACACGCAGTCATCAGCCGGCCTGCGGGCGGCCGCAGCCAGCCTGCACAGCCCCGCTGGGCCGAGGCCGGGTGGGGGGCGCCCCTGCGTATTTCACGCTTTCTGTTCACAACATCTAGGCTAATGCTCCCATTGCAAAGCAGCGTCTGGGGTTTATTTTTATTTATGCCAGAAGGCCGCTCTGCCGCACAGCTTGAGGGCTCCGGGACACCGCTCCCGCCTGTTCTTCAGGGACTTGCTGCTCTGTCTGCGGCTGCGTGTGCGGGGGCGTGCAGGAGGGGGCGGGCGCAGCGCTGGCGGGCCGCACCCAAGGGCCCCCGGCGGCCCCCAGCCGAGCCAGCTCCTGCTTGACACCGCTGGACCC